ACCGATGCATATGTAGCTAGTTCTGATGTAAGCCTTGCTGGGTACATTTGTACTCACGTTTGCCTATTTTATGTTTTGTAGAGAGACGTCAGTCTCGTTAGTAGTTCCGTGTGGACTTCGACGTTTAGCTTGATACCTCAGCTACGATCTTGTGCCCTCGGCAGGATCTGGTAGATAGTCAGGCTTCTCAGCCTTTTTCATTTGTAGGTGTCTGTCTCAGACATGTTAAGCTTCCGCATGTGCTTTGACTTGTATGCTCTGAATGTTGGGTCATGAGACCCATGTTTGTAATATCTCGCTCCTCGGAGCCTAACGAATAAATACTTTGAGTCGTAGAGTTTTGTTGTGATGCCATGTTGTATTTACACATATCGAGCATATTGTGTGTATGATTGAAATGCTTGGTATGTGTGGGATCCGACAACCTAGTTGTTTATCCTTGGTAGCTTCTCCTATGGGGAAATATAGTCTTGTGCTTCCATGAGCCATAGTAGTCCGCTACAGCCCGGTTCACCGGAGTCCTGCTAGCCCAACACTACTGCTCCGGAACACTTGACTGGCCGGCATGTGATTCACTTCGTTCTTGTGTCTGTCCCTTCGGGGAAATGTCACGCGGTGACATCCGTAGTCCTGCCTAGCCTGCTACAGGCCGGTTCATCGGAGTCCTGTTAGCCCAGTGCTACAGCCCGGATTCGCACGATGCTGACCGACATGCTCGATGTTGATTCATGTATGCCTGCCCCCGTAAGTTAGAGCCACTTTGGGTTCACGACTAGTCATGTCGGCCCGGGCTCTCTGTCATATGGATGCTAGCGACACTATCATATACGTGAGCCAAAAGGCGCAAATGGTCCCGGGCCATGATAAGGCGACACCCGTGGGAATACCGTGCGTGAGGCCGCAAAGTGATATGAGGTATTACCGGCTAGATCGATGTGACTTGGAATCAGGGTCCTGACAGCATCTCTATCGGACGCATGGGAGCAAAAATAAAATGTTGGTTACATATCACATGGTCATTTTTTTGATCTTTTATTTAGAAACACGGATTTTGTGACATCCAAAAAACCGAGTCGGCACATCCTGAAATTTACAAAGTCACTAGAGTTGACGAAACATTGTCTCCCACCAAACAAAGATTGCTGAAAACCTAAAATAAATCCAGAACATGTGAGCACTAGTATCAAGTTGACAAAAACCAAACCATCTGAGCTATGCTCCATTGGTGATCATTTTTCCTTTTTGTCGATCGTATATCGGGATAAGCTAACCGATCTTGTAGCCAGGAGCTAGCCCTAGCCAGCTGCAGCAACGCCTGCACGTTGCTTTGCTAGCTGCTGCTTGAACGAGGACAGATCCACGATCTCCCACATGCCGCGCATGATGATCGGTCAAGCTCGTCCGTCGCGGCCGTGTGGTCCCGCGATCCGTGGCACAAGACACGGTGTGCCGAATCATGTGCTCGTAGGCGACATGAGTTAGTTATGCATCCCTGTCTGCTCCCAGTGCGTGCACGCGGTGCACCGCAGCTGGAGTCGAGGAGTTGGACCGGAACGTGCGTGCCCACAGCGTAGCGTAGGAGGCGGTGGGATGGGAAGAAGAGCTCTGCGGTCTGGTCCCTGTAGTTTGGGGTTTTGTGATCGAGCTTAACACTTTAACAGCACGTGGAGCCTCTTGCTTTGGAGTGACTTGGGCATTTCCGGGCCAGGTTTCAGAAAACCCAACCCCAAAATCACAAGCCCGGGCCTCGGCCCGGCCCACCCTGCAGCCCGAGAAAATACCTAACATCCATATTTAAAACAACAAAATAAGTTTTTTCAGGGGGTTAATACTACTCCCTCCGTTCCAGAATATAAGGTGTATTGGTTTCCGTGCAAGTCAACCATTTGAAAGTTTGACCAAGATTATAGAACAAAATAGAAACATCTGCAATACCTAATAGATAAAATATGAAACTACCTTTCATAATCGATCAAATGATATAAATTTTATATTATGGATATTGATACATTTTTCTAAAAACTTGGTCAAACTTGCACTCGTTTGACTTTTGGAAAAACAAATACACCTTATATAAAGGAACGGAGGGAGTATAATACTATGCCTATATTTATATAGAAAACTTGAAAAACCATGTTTTGCCGGTTTTTTGGGCTTCGGGCTAGAAAGTGAGGCCCGTGCCTGGCCCGTACATCGGTTTTCGGGTCGGGCCTGTCGGGCCGAGCCACCCATGCCCAGGTTTTTTTTGGAGAGGGTGCTTTTAGGGTGACACTGATGCACTTGGTCATCATGCGAGTATATGAAGTGACACTGGGGCTATTTTTCTTTTGCAAATAAATTCTTGCATCACTCAAAGTTTAAGAGTTGCAATCCCGTCCAACAATATCCAGGACCTCATCTGGACCAGAGCCTAGCCAAAGCGTGGTTCGGGTTGCAACCTATCAAAGTTGGCCATGAAATGACTAGCACTATTACAGTTTCGACAGATATGAGTAATGCAAGAATCTCTCTCACTCATACTAGTAATGCCCTCCCTAATAATAAAAGCATACTTTGATTGGTTTCCTTGCCCACCTTTGATCATTATAACCGTGTCCAGACACTCTGATTCGATATCAACATGTAAACTACTCCATCATAATGCCAACAAAACACCTTCAGAGATAGCTAATAACCTAGCTTCCGAAATATCAATACATGTGAAGAGGTATCTGCAAGAGCTGAATATAATGACACTGGGGCTTTTATACAAAAGATTCTTTTGGAAGAGTTTATACATAAGAATTGCGGTGCTGGATGTAAATACATCAAAGTTGTTATAGTAAAGTATATAAGGTGCAATTATTCCCGTAGCTTTTTATCGAAAGAATATGAAGAACCTATGGAGGGCGAGGCTTGAGTTAATATTAGATTTCTACATAACATAAGTGCATAGTTACAGTGAGATCATATGGAGGGTGAGGTGTAAATATTACATTCCTACATAAGACCAACGCATAGTTGCAACGATAAAAGTGTGCCATAAGCTTCATTGAGCCATTTGGCTATTGAAATGATATAAACAAGACATTCACGTCGGATGTAAAAAGGGTAATAATAAACTAAACATGTGATCCAGTGAACGTAAGCAACTACATTAAAGGAGAAGAAATCGTGAATGTTCTTACATTGTTTGTGGGACAATTATCTGGGCAATACATGTCGAGGGCTCCAGGTAAATTGCCCACTTTAGAAAAACATGACGACAATTCAAAATCTACATGATTTCACAAATTGTATGTCTACCTCCTTTGCTCTAACTATAATGTCAACTCTCATTGTTGGTCACTATCACCAAAAAGAAGGCTCGAAGAGCAAAAGGACGGCACGAAAAATTGGTTGTATAATGTGTGAAGTAGAAAACACCGAAAACCTACTACATGATGATGCACTTGGTGCGGGGCAGCTATGATTTTTTAAATGGTTAAAGCCATTTAATAGGCGTGGGTTCTCATGTTCTAAGACACAATGTGTTTTGAGAAATTATAAGCATGATGATTATAGTTTTAGGGAGCGAATATGCAAAGATCACATACTACTACTAGTGCACCTTTCAAATAAAGTTCAGGTTTATAGGGAAAGAAAACAAATGTGACATCCTGCTCCACAGGCAACAATGCCACGTAACCGGCTATACTTCTCTTATCATACTTTCTCTTAGGGTGCTTTTAGGGTGACATTCATGGACACCGCCAAATACAAACACCACATCAACATGAAGCATCACTAGAGGTAAAAACATGAAAAGTGTTTTAGTCAAGTATATATGATGTAATTGTTCCCATATCTCTTATGAAAAAATGAGGACAGCCCATGAAGGGTGAGGCGTGAATATAGGTTTCTACATAACATCGATGCATAGTTGCAAGGGGAAAAAGAGAACACAAACGTTATTGGGTCATTTTTTAATAACTGCACCACTCGGAATGATATAAATCAAGAAATTTTCACATTGGACATAAAAAGGGTAATAAGCAGCTAGACATGAGATACACTAAACGTCTAGACCTAAGCAACCACATTAAAGGACAAGAAAGTGCATATTCTTACATCATTTGCAGGACAACGATCCGATGGACACCATGTACTACATTGTCCAACATGAAAAAACATTCCGCCAATTCAAAATCTACATGATTTTGCAATTTATGTGTTTACCTCCTATGCTATAAGTGTAATGCCAACTCTTGTTGTTGGTCACTATCACCGGGGAGAGAGAGAGAGAGAGAGAGAGAGAGAGAGAGAGAGAGAGTAGTGGGTCCTATATAGATGGAAGGAGGGAGTAGTCGATCTCGATAGTTAAATTTACGGTCAAATTTAAATCTCGAAAAGCATGGACGCAGTACATTGTGGAAGGAAGGAGTAGAAAACATTCCCCCGCAAAAAAAGAGAGGAGTAGAAAACATTGAAAAACTGCAGTTGCCACTTTCACACCCGAATGAGCAAAACCCACATACTATTGCACTTCTTAAAATAACCCCGATATGCCAGGGTCTTGGTAGGAAAAGCAAACAAAGGCGCGCCCTCCCAGTTCAACTCCACCACCTCCTCCACCCTCCTCCTCCAGGCTCCGCTTCGACTTGGAACGAAACAGTAAAACAAACCGCAACGAATCGGCGGCGGGTGCGCCGAATGCCGGTGGTGCCCGCGCCGCCTCTCCCCTCCCCGCCGCGCCCCACCGAATCGAAGCGGAATAGAACAACTCCACCGCGCGCCCACTTGACAAATTTCCTATCCGATTCGAATCGGCGCCGAGCTCGTGCTCCTGCTCGCGCCCGCCCCCGCCGCGCGCGCGCACTGGTCCAAACCCAACCCAACCCTAGCCCCCCACCATCCCCACCACCAGATCCGGAGATCCCGCGCGGACCCGGAGGCGAATCGGCGCCCACAATGGCGGGCCTAGTCGCGCCGCCCTGATCCCCCCCGATCCGGCTCGCCGCTTGCTCCCCCCCGCGCCGCCGATGGACTCCGCCCGGAGCTGGCTCCAGAAGCTGCAGAAGGACAAGGCCAGGCCGGGCGCGTCGCCCCTCGGCGCCGGGATGGCCGGGGACGACGAGGACGAGCCGGTCCTCTCCAGCGCCACCAAGCAGAAGGTGGAGGCCGCCAAGCAGTGCATCGAGAACCACTACAAGGCGCAGATGAGGTCGCTCCAGGAGCGCAAGGAGAGGTCAGTCGCTCGCTCGCTCGCTGCTCTCGCTGTCCCCGCGGATCACGTGGTCTGGTCTGGTGGATCGCCTGCTCAAGCGGGCTAGGATTCTGGCGTTGAATTGGCAATGCGTGAGAGTTCGGCTTGATCCCTGTGTGTCCTGGTGAGGAGGGATCAGATCAGTAGCGGCCAATTGGCTGGCGCCCTCCCTTTGTTGGTGTGAACTGATGATCACTGTCCTGGTCTCTTCTAAGCTGGCTGCATCATGGTGGAATTATGCTGACTTCACAATGGCGGATGTGTGTGAGTTGTGTTGGGATCCGGTGGGTGTCCTGGTGCAGAGGTATCAGATCAGTAGCCACGAATGGCACCCTGTTTAGTCGATTCGTTGCGCACTCCATTTGTTTGCCGTGATCTGTGTCCAAGGCTTATCTAAGCTGGCTGCGTCATGGTGGCATTGTGCTACCGACTTCGCAACTCGCAGACTAGCCGTTGACTATTGAATGCGGCGCTGGCGTTACTGCGCCTGGTGCTTATGATGCATATGTCTAATTTTGGATGTGCTGCATGGCATGTGACCACCGCCGCCTAATTTTGGACGATAGGTGTATTCTTGCAATTCTATGGCTCTGCATTTAGTTTATGTGCTCCCTTGACGGTAGCATAACATTGCTACGATCCTGGCGGGAAAATGGTTAAAAATTTGGGATAACTAAAGATAACGCCACACTGCATGGCATTGCAGAAGTTGATATGTGTAGTTTTGTGGAGTAAAGTTAGGGCCGAAAGAGGTAAAGTAGTGCGTCACTTGGAGCAAAATAGGGTGGAAGCTGGTAATGGTGAAGCACTTCCTTTTTTGGACCAAAATTTAATGCGCCGATGGACCTAATTGTTGCTGGTGTGCTCTACATCTGAGTTTATATAAGTTATCTATAATAACGAGGTTACCATAATTGATAAGCGCCAGTAAATCAATGTCCATTTACTAGACTTAATTGGACCAGGAAACATTCAGAATAAAGATTGCGGTATATATACCTGTGCCTGTGGATCACGTGGTCTAGTGGATCACCTGCTGAGGAGGGCTAGGATTCTGGTGTTGAATTGGCAGTTTGTGTGAGTTGGGCTGGATCTGTGCGTGTTCTGGCACGGAGGTATGAATTAGCAGCCGCGAATTGACTCCCTGTTTGGTCGAGTAGTTGCGCCCTTGATTTGTTGGTTGTAATCTGTGCCCTAGTCTCTTCCAAGCTGGCTGTGTCATGGTGGAGTTGTGCTGCCGTGTCAGGTCTACAGCACCTGCAGTCTCTGTTTCTTCAGTTAACAAGATGAAGTTCAGCCAACGGCTACGATAAATAATGGCGAGAAGGATCCAATGGCTCTCTCCCTCCCTGTTACCTGATGCGCTGTGTACTTTCCTATTGTCGCACTGTAGCTTTATTCCGTTTTCGTAGCTGGCTATAAGATGCCAGGGACGGGGCTGTAAAGAATCACTCCTGAATGTGAGATCTCTCTCAACAAACACATACAACATATACCATATAGAGATGAATATTCCTCTGCACATACTGTTTTCCTCTGCGTTTAATGTGAGATCTCTCTCAACAAACACATACAACATATACCCTAATTCCTAGTTCAACCCCTCTGATCCACAACTGGGCATGACATGCCGACTTCACAACTCGCATAGTAGTAGTTACTGTTGACTATTGCATGTGGTCCTGCCATCGCCATACTAGTATGCGCCTGGTGCTTAGGATGCAGACGTCTAATTTTGGATGTGTTGAATGGCATGTGACAGCCGCCGCCTAATTTTGGACAGGGAGGTGAATTCTTGCAATTCTATGGCTGTGCATTTAATTAGTGTTAGTGTTACCAAACTTGATATAAGTTAGTTTTTTACGTCAGCATAATATTGCTAGGATTGTGGAGGGAAAATGATTATAATGTTGGGATAAGCCAAGATAAAGCTGCACTACATAGCAATGCAGAAGTTGGTGTGCATAGCTGTAGTGCTGTGCAGTAAAAATAGGGTCGAAGTAGGTAAGGTCGGTGTGTCACTTGGACAAAAATAAGGTGGAGGCTTCTGGTAAATGGTTTATCGCCTCCTGTTTTTGGTATATTCTACACCAAAGTTTACACAAGTATTCTATAATAATTGCATTTATTTATTGAACCAGGAAGCATACAATATAAATGTTGCTGTATATATTCCTTAAATTGTTCTTTCACACAATGCCCATACAATCTATTGTACTTGATGAAAGCAATGCATTATGATGCTATCAATTTTGGGAACTATGCTCGAAGTTGGTAAAGGAAGATGGCATGCAAGAAATATCTCTAGCGTAAAGCGTACAGAGGCCTTTATAGCCATAGTCTGTGCTTGTCTGCTTTTATTCTCCTGTGACCTGCCGGCGAAACCGCTTTATGTTGGTTTTGTGTCTTAGCATGGTTTGCATGTCACTGAGTGTCTGTTCTTGACTTCTTATTTGGTGCCATCCATCATTGCATCTTAATATATGGTTATGTTGTAGGCGTTGGATGCTGGAGAAGAAGCTTGCTGATGCTGATGTATCTGAAGAGGAGCAAAACAATATCCTGAAGGATTTAGAAAAAAAGGAGACAGAATACATGCGCCTAAGGAGGCACAAAATGGGCGTTGATGATTTTGAATTGCTGACCATTATTGGGAGAGGTGCTTTTGGGGAGGTGACAAAGGCTCTTTTCTCTTTCTCAAGGAAATCTTTGTTCTCCGTACTTTGCTACTGCTTACCTCTGCTTTATACTGATATTCTGCAGGTGAGACTTTGTAGAGAAAAAGCTACATCCAATGTATATGCAATGAAAAAGCTCAAGAAGTCTGAAATGTTACGAAGAGGCCAGGTACTTCATGTGTGCTTACTTGAGTATTAAATCAGGCTGTATAGCAAAATGTTCCATTTTCTAATGTGTTCTTTCTAGGTTGAGCATGTGAGAGCTGAAAGGAACCTCCTTGCAGAAGTTGATAGTGCTTATATAGTTAAGCTCTACTGCTCATTCCAAGATGACGAGTTTCTGTACCTTGTTATGGAGTACCTTCCTGGTGGTGACATGATGACTCTGCTCATGCGCAAGGATACACTTACCGAGGACGAGTCTTCGTTTTATGTTGCAGAGACAATATTAGCAATTGAATCCATTCACAAGCATAACTATATTCATAGGTAAATGGTAATAGATTAACGCCATAAACTGTACAGTAACTGCAACTTGCAGTTTTCTTTTCGAAAAGGAGGATTTCCCCTGGCCTCTGCATCAAACGATGCACACAGCCACTGGTGCAACTTGCAGCTAACTCTTTGTTACATCTTTTCAGGGATATCAAGCCTGACAATTTATTGTTAGATCGAACTGGCCATCTGAAGCTTTCAGATTTCGGCCTATGCAAGCCTCTAGATAGTAGCAGCTTCCCAAATCTCACTGACCTTGACAGTGCAGCGGGAAATATCACCAATCCATCGGCAGATGGTGATAAGCCATTAAGTAGCGCTGCTGTTCCCAGGCGAACACAACAGGAACAACTATTGCATTGGCAGAAGAATCGCCGGATGTTGGTAAGTTATATACTTGCATGAAAGTAGAAACATTCCACTTATAACTTGTGTGGTGGACTGGTGGTTACTGTAACTCATACATTGACTAAGACTACTGTCCAGTAGACTAATACATTGGTTCCTACCATCTATCCACGTGCTGCTTAATTCTTATGCATCCCCTAGTTGGGAGTTCTAGGTCCAACAGTTTGCACACGAAAATTTCTTGCAGAATAGTCGTAACTCATAAAGAGGCAAGCATGGATAAAAGCATCCCACTCAATGCGTTCTCAACGTGAAACATACTGCATGAGTGATGAAAACCCATTCTAAGATTTTAATGCATATGAACCTGCGGCATTACACGGTGAAAATTGTATACAGCCTAACATGGAAATAAATTTCTCCAATGTATTAGCATATGAAATCTATTTAAATGGTAGAATGTTTAAATAAAGTTTTTAAGTATACAACAAAGAGGGCATTTGTTTGACACCCAATAGCTGCTTTGTCTTAACTGAGTGTACCACCATTGCTCTGGCTCTGTAATATTTTACATGATATCACTGCCTTGGCTCTGCAATCAGTTATATATGTTGTTTACTGGAATTTCAGGCTTATTCAACTGTCGGTACACCTGATTACATTGCTCCGGAAGTCCTATTGAAGAAGGGATATGGAATGGAATGTGACTGGTTAGTTTTGTTCTTAACTTGTGCAATGCATGTCTAAATTATGATGTTTTCTTTCTCACATTTACATTTTATAGGTGGTCACTTGGGGCCATTATGTATGAGATGCTTGTGGGCTACCCACCATTTTATTCTGAAGATCCAATGTCAACATGTAGGAAGGTAAATTTGAATGGTGTTTTTACATCAATTATAGTGCCATGCGCTTTCATAAGAATTCTGCATTTGTATGTGAATTCTTGTTACCGCTGACTGGCCCAATTATGCAGATAGTAAATTGGAGAAGCCATCTTAAATTTCCTGAAGAGGCCAGACTTTCGCCAGAAGCTAAAGATCTAATTAATAAGCTATTATGTAATGTGGATCAGAGACTTGGGATGAAAGGAGCACATGAGATAAAGGTGAAAATCGTTCAGATTAATTGTTTTAACTTTGAGTTTTGAATTTTTAATCATTCGCCATCCTTCCTACAGGCTCATCCATGGTTTAAAAGCGTTGAATGGGAAAAGCTATATCAGATGGAAGCAGCTTTCATACCTGAAGTTATTGATGAGTTGGACACACAAAACTTTGAGAATTTTGAGGAGGTGAGTTGTTACTCTCAGGCTACTTAGGCTAGTCTGTAGTTCTCAAGTAGTCACCCCGGTATATGATAAGGTACCGAGATACCTATGAACCATGTTTCCGATAAATAAGACCTTATTCAAAAATAGTCCATCAGCATGAGAAATTGAGATCTACTTATCTGGGCAATAGATACCATAAGTTGGACTGTTGGAGTGCAGGTTATGCTAATGCTGGCCTGCTCTTGGTTGCGAAGGAGGCTTGTCAACATAGTGGTGGCAGTCAGGAGGGAATATGTGACAGTAGGTGAGAGTTGCCATTAGCTGGGCTTGATCAAGGAGGTGTTGGGCTGAACAACAGCTAAATGTTGGGAGGAAGGGAGGAGGCGATAATGGTGGAAGTGAGCCGACGCCGTCCGGCTTTAGCCCAAAGGAGGACGTGTCATCCGGTGGTGGCAGGATAGAGCAGGGCAGATAGAGGATTTACTTTAGGATTTATGGTGTGGATTTGGATTGACTTGGTTGGTAGTTGACTTCAGTTTGGGTTGGAAACTATACGCTATGCAGGCTAGTGCATGATCTGACAATGCAAAAAGATTGTTTTTTACACGAGAAAAACTTCGAATGGTGTAGATGCATGAATATTCTTTGATATTATTTTTTCTGGAGTGAACTGCCGGCTCTATGGATCAACATCACTCCAACAAACAACAAAATTATAATTACAACCGGTTTTCATGAACACATGAGCCACCTCATTAGCAGAACGATGGGCCTGCATTACTGCATTATTTGATAAGGGAACTGAGCTTGTGGCATCTGACTGAACCTGTAGGTGTTAATCATACTGGGGTCTTTTCAGGAATAGGTCAAAAGAATCAGTTCTACGTATTTGCAGTGAAACATGCTATGCTTCCTGTTTAGCTTATATTATGAAGAAAATATAATGTGAGATAGCGGGAAATGGTACATTGGCTGGTGCAATAGTATATTATCTTGGTTCTTGTAGTCTGTTCTATTCAAGGTGTACTGACGGTTTTGCATCTGGTAATTCTTCCAGGCTGCGCCTACCATGCAAACTTCATCAAAGGCAGGTCCTTGGAGAAAGGTACTCATTACAAAGATCAATTGAATACAATATCCTTTTGGTGTTCTGCGTTGTCAAAAGACCACCAGAGCATTTTTAGCGCATGTTTTCAGCGAAATGTTACCGCACCTAGAATTAAATTTTGATCCCTGATATTTTGTTCTCTAGCATTCCTTTCCTTTCACTACCTGATCTAGGTCCTGAGCCAATGTTCATTTGTGCAGATGCTTTCCTCCAAGGACATGAATTTTGTCGGTTATACTTACAAGAACTTTGAAATAGTGAATGATCCTGAACTTCCAGGAATAGGTTGGATATATTTCCTTTCCTGCTCACTTGTTTCTCGTCGTGTTCTTCGCAAAAAGTGGCTTGGACATATTTTTTGCACAATACATTATTTGTGATTTTTCTTTTTTGGCTTTGCAGCTGAATTAAAGAAGAAGAACAACAAACCAAAGCGACCAACCATCAAATCATTATTTGGTAATTTTTTCAGAGTCCTTGCTCTCTTAAGGTATTGGGTTCAAACAATGTCATAAACCCATAATATTAATGATTCATCCACTGACATCTGTGCAGAGTGTGCTGAAAGTGACGATCAGCCTGAAGGCAGTCTTTTGGGCCCATTGCCGCCTCAGCTAGAGTTGCCTGAGAGCCCCTCACCTCACTCCAGTATCTCCTCCGAAGATTCCCAAGCACAACACAGATAACAGGTGTGTGTTTTCTGGTACCCGTCTCCTGTAAACGGAAGCAGAAAAGCATAGGTGGATGTCAGTCTGCTCAAGTGGCTATTTTAAAGGGCAAATCTTAAGAGCATCTATAAGTCCGTGGAATTTGCTCTCGAGCAGCCGTTTGAGGTGCTCCAAGCCATTGTGTATGTTGGAGCTCCAGGTCATCCTGTTCATTGTTACCTCATTTGTTTCCTGACGAATCCATAGTCCTCATACAGAGAGCCAGGCTATCTGCTGTAAATTCATGGACGGATCCTGTGCAGGGGATGAGGTTCGTTTCTTTCGCTGGAACATGTCATGGTATGCTGCCAGGTTTTTTTGGCGCAGAAATCTGCATTTCCGCATTCGCGTCGTGAGATTTGCGACAACGTAAAGAAGTTCTGAGGAACGAGCAACTTGTACCATCAAGGATACTCTGTAAGAGGATGCTCACTTTGCCATCTATATAGCTAAACTGTTCTTCAGTCTATATATGCAGTAACATTTTCATGTCAATGCACTGTTAACGCATGCATGGTTATGTCATTGAGCAAGCGGCTTGTGTACCTGAAACCGGTTGCTTGTACCATCAAGGATACTCTGTAAAAGGATGCTCACTTTGCCATCTACATATAGCTAAGCTGTTGTTCAGTCTATATCTGCAGTAACATTTTCATGTCAATGCACTGTTAACACATGCATGGTTATGTCCTTGGGCAGCAAGTGGCTTGTGTACCTGAAACGAGATCCGGTTGCTTGGAGCAGAGAGCACTGCTTTTACATGATCATTGTCTGTTCTCTCTTTGGTTATCTTAGCAACCAATCTTAGCCCTTAATTAATCACCACTAAACACAAGCTGTACTAATTAACCAACAACTTAATCCACTTAGCAGCGCATCAATGGATGATGGCCCCATGCAGGTCAAGCCCTACCTATATCTGCACTCCCATTAAGAACTAGGCCAACCCCCATGCAAGTGCGGTGAGAGCACTGATGGGCTACCTCACTTGCCTCCCGCGACGTGCCACCCTCCTCTAACCCCTCTCCACCAACACGACCCACACGTACGTACTACATCTGCACCTAATTAACCTCGCTCTCGGCCCGCGGATCAGATCATCCACCTCCCCGTCTGCTTTGGTCTGGTTTCCGCGCGCGTGCGTGCATGGACAGGCTGAGGAGCGTGGTGCTGCGCAGGTGCAAGAGCCTGTCGCGGGCGGGGAGCAGGCGGGCGTCGTCCTCCTCCAGCTCCTACAGCAACCTCCGCTCCATGTCCGCCAGGGACGACGTCGCCGGAGAAGACAGCCAGGCGGTGGCCGAGGGGGAGTCGGCGGTGGTGTTCGTGGGCAGCTCGCGCCGGCGGTACGTCATCAGCGCCAGGCACCTCCGCCACCCGCTGATCGCCGCGCTCATCGACGACGACGCCGGCGATGGCGACGCGAGGAATAGTAAGGAGCCGGTGGCCGTGAGGTGCGAGGTCGTGCTGTTCGACCACCTGCTGTGGATGCTCGACAACGCTGTCGACCTGCGCGCCGGCGCCGGTGGCGAGGACGACGCCGTCAGGGAGCTGGCCCAGCTCTACGCCACGTGCTAACCCAGTTGCAGGTGATCGACTCGTCGGTTGATATATAGTATACGATCAAGTGATCAACGATGCTGCATGAACCATGCGTGCTGGTAATAGTCCTCTCCGGATTTGATTGATTCTTTTTGTGTGCTCTTGCGCGAGATCTAAGATTCTCGGGCGCCAATGGGAAGATACATATACTTGGGTTCGTCCGTGTAGGCAGAGCTACTTGATAGCTAATGGTTTTGTATTTGTTCTAGCTAATGGTTTTGTATTTGTTCTAGCCAATCACCGTACAACTTGTATTGTTGAGATGTGTATTTTTGCATTTAATTTTGTGTCATGGCGATCTAAAGCGTATGTAAAGAGGTCGTGCTCCTAAAGTAAATTATGTGTATACTTCCATTCCATTTCTTCTCTCATGACCCGTGATCAGTTTATATATGTAACAATATGTGGTCTCTTAGGTTAATTTCAGTAAAGACTAAATGAATTCACCAACATGTATAGCAACAAGAAGCAAAACCTACGATCTCCATGGTTGATGCGCGCAATGGTCACATTGCCTCCACTCATCCAACAGCGCAGCAAAACTTCATGACATAGTTGCAGATGGTGTACCACCGATGCGTTAGCGACTTCACATGGCGTTCATGGATGACGTGCATATCGTAAGGTGCGAAGTACTTTCGCTCATGAAATGAAGCATGCAAGTGTTGGAAATATGCCCTAGAGGCAATAATAAAAGGATTATTATATTTCTTTGTTCATGATAATTGTCTATTGTTCATGCTATAATTGTATTGTCCGGAAATCATAATACATGTGTGAATACATAGACCACAATATGTCCCTAGTAAGCCTCTAGTTGACTAGCTCGTTGATCAATAGATAGTCATGGTTTCCTGACTATGGACATGGGGATGTCATTGATAACGGGATCACATCATTAGGAGAATGATGTGATGGACAAGACCCAAACCTAAGCATAGCACAAAGATCGTGTAGTTCGTTTGCTAGAGCTTTTTCTGAATGTCAAGTATCATTCCTTAGACCATGAGATTATGCAACTCCCGGATGCCGTAGGAATGCTTTGGGTGTATCAAACGTCACAACGTAACTGGGTGACTATAAAGGTGCACTACAGGTATCTCCGAAAGTGTTTGTTGGGTTGGCATGAATCGAGACTGGGATTTGTCACTCCGTATGACGGAGAGGTATCTCTGGGCCCACTCGGTAAGACATCATCATAATGAGCTCAATGTGATCAAGGTGTTGTTCACGGGATGATGTGTTACGGGAACGAGTAAAGAGACTTGCCGGTAACGAGATTGAACAAGGTATCGGTATACCGACGATCGAATCTCGGGCAAGTATCGTACCGATAGACAAAGGAAATTGAGTACGGGATTGATTAAGTCCTCGACATCGTGGTTCATCCGATGAGATCATCGAGGAGCATGTGGGAGCCAACATGGGTATCCAGATCCCGCTGTTGGTTATTGACTGGAGATCGTCTCGATCATGTCTGCATGTCTCCCGAACCCGTAGGGTCTACACACTTAAGGTTCGGTGATGCTAGGGTTGTAAAGATATTAGTATGCAGCAAACCGAAGGTTGTTCGGAGTCTCGGATGAGATCCCGGACGTCACGAGAGGTTCCGGATTGGTCCGGAGGTAAATAATTATATATAGGAAGTGTCGTTTCGGCCATCGGGAAGGATTCGGGGGTCACCGGTATTGTACCGGGACCACCGGATGGGTCCCGGGGGTCCACCGGGTGGGGCCACCCATCCCGGAGGGTCCCGTGGGCTGAAGTGGGGAGGGAACCAGCCCATAGTGGGCTGGTGCGCCCCCCCATGGGCCTCCCCCTTGCGCCTAGGGTTGGAAACCCTAGGGCAAGGGGCGCCCCACTTGCCTTGGGGGCATCTCCAGGGCCGGCGCCCCCCCAAGGGGGCCTATATAAAGGGGGGAGGGAGGGCAGCCGCACCCCTGCTGCATTGGCGCCTCCCTCTCCCCTGTTACACCTCTCCCTCTCTCCGTAGACGCTTGGCGAAGCCCTGCTGGAACTCTGCTGCATCCACCACCACGCCGTCGTGCTGCTGGATCTTCATCAACCTCTCCTTCCCCTTGCTGGATCAAGAAGGAGGAGGCGTCATCCCGACCGTACGTGTGTTGAACGCGGAGGTGCTGTCCGTTCGGCACTAGGTCATCGGTGATTTGGATCACGGCGAGTACGACTCCATCATCCACGTTCTTCTTGAACGCTTCCGTTGCGATCTACAAGTGGTATGTAGATGCTCTCCTATCCCCTCGTTGCTAGAATACTCCATGGATAGATCTTGGTGATGCGTAGGAAAATTTTAATTTCTGCTACGATCCCCAACAGTGGCATCATGAGCTAGGTCTATGCGTAGTTTCTATGCACGAGTAGAACACAAAGTAGTTGTGGGCGTCGAATTGTCAATTCTTCTTGCCGTTACTAGTCCTATCTTGATTCAGCGGTATTGTGGGATGAAGCGGCCCGGACCAACCTTACACGTACGCTTACGTGAGACCGGTTCCACTGACTGACATGCACTAGTTGCATAAGGTGGCTGGCGGGTGTCTGTCTCTCCCACTTTAGTTGGATCGGATTCGATGAACAGGGTCCTTATGAAGGGTAAATAGAGATTGACAATTCACGTTGTGGTTTTAACGTAGGTAAGAAACGTTCTTGCTAGCAACCTATAACAGCCACGTAAAAACTTGCAACAACAATTAGAGGACGTCTAACTTGTTTTTGCAGCAAGTGCTTTGTGATGTGATATGGCCAGAAGTTGTGATGAATCATGTATGTGATGTATGAGATGATCTTGTTATTGTAATAGGAATCACGACTTGCATGTCGATGAGTATGACAACCGGCAGGAGCCATAGGAGTTGTCTTTATTTATTTATGACCTGCGTGTCAACTTAAATCATCATGTAATTACTTTACTTTATTGCTAAAGCGTTAGCCATAGTAGTAGAAGTAATAGTTGACGTGACAACTTCATGGAGACACGATGATGGAGATCATGATGATGGAGATCATGGTGTCATGCCGGTGACGACGATGAACATGGCGCCCCGAAGATGGAGATCAAAGGAGCGAAATGATGTTGGCCATATCATGTCACTATTTGATTGCATGTGATGTTTATCATGTTTTTTACATCTTATTTGCTTAGAACGACGGTAGCATAAATAAGATGATCCCTCATTAAAATATCAAAAATGTGTTCTTCCTAACTGTGCACCGTTGCTAAGGTTCGTCTTTCCGAAGCACCACGTGATGATCGGGTGTGATAGGTCCTTACGTTCGCATACAACGGGTGTAAGCCAGATTTACACACGCAATACACTTAGGTTGGATTGACGAGCCTAGCATGTACAGACATGGCCTCGGAACACGGAGGACCGAAAGGTCGAACATGAGTCGTATAGAAGATACGATCAACATGGAGATGTTCACCGATGATGACTAGTCCGTCTCACGTGATGATCGGACACGACCTAGTTGACTCGGATCATGTATCACTTAGATGACTAGAGGGATGTCAAATCTGAGTGGGAGTTCATTCATTAATTTGATTAGATGAACTTAATTATCATGAACTTAGTCTAAATCTTTACAATATGTCTTGTAGATCAAATGGCCCACGCTAATGTCACCCTCAACTTCAACGCGTTCCTAGAGAAAACCAAGCTGAAAGATGATGGCAGCAACTATGCGGACTGGGTCCGGAACCTGAGGATCATCCTCATAGCTGCCAAGAAAGATTATGTCCTAGAAGCACCGCTAGGTGATGCACCATTCCCAGCAAAGCAGGATGTTATGAACGCCCATCAGTCACGTGCTGATGATTACTCCCTCGTTCAGTGCGGCATGCTTTACAGCTTAGAACCGGGGCTCCAAAAGCGTTTTGAGCAACACAGAGCATATGAGATGTTCGAAGAGCTGAAATTGATTTTCCAAGCTCATGCCCGGGTCGAGAGATATGATGTCTCCGACAAGTTCTTTAGCTGTAAGATGGAGGAAAATAGCTCTGTCAGTGAACACATACTCAAGATGTCTGGGTTGCACAACCGCTTGACTCAGCTGGAAGTTAATCTCCCGGATGAGGCGGTCATTGACAGAATCCTTCAGTCGCTCCCACCTAGCTACAAGAACTTCGTGATGAACTACAATATGCAGGGGATGGAAAAGACCATTCCCGAGTTGTATTCAATGCTGAAATCAGCGGAGGTGGAGATCAAAAAGGAACATCAAGTGTTGATGGTGAATAAAACCTCTAAGTTCAAGAAAGGCAAGGGTAAGAAGAACTTCAAGAAGGACGGCAAGGAGATTGCCGCGCCTGGTAAATCAGTTGCCAGGAAGAAGTCGAAGAATGGACCCAAGCCTGAAACCGAGTGCTTTTATTGCAAGGGAAATGGTCACTGGAAGCGGAATTGCCCCAAGTACTTAGCGGATAAGAAGGCCGGCAACACCAAAGGTATATGTGATATACATGTTATTGATGTGTACCTTACCAGCACTCGTAGTAGCTCCTGGGTATTTGATACCGGTGCGGTTGCTCATATTTGTAACTCAAAGCAGGAGCTGCGGAATAAACGGAGACTGGCGAAGGACGAGGTGACGATGCGCGTCGGGAATGGTTCCAGGGTCGATGTGATCGCCGTCGGCACGCTACCTCTACATTTACCTACGGGATTAGTTTTGAACCTCAATAATTGTTATTTAGTGCCAAGTTTGAGCATGAACATTGTATCTGGATCTCGATTAATTCGAGATGGCTACTCATTTAAATCTGAGAATAATGGTTGTTCTATTTATATGAGTGATATGTTTTATGGTCATGCTCCGATGGTTAATGGTTTATTCTTAATGAATCTCGTACGGGATGATACACATATTCATAATGTGAATACCAAAAGATGTAAAGTTAATAATGATAGTCCCACATACTTGTGGCACTGCCGCCTTGGTCACATTGGTGTCAAGCA